CGCGCCGCGCACTTAATTATGCGTCTCGCAACCACAACTAGATCGGCGAAATGCGCTACTAGGCCTTGCCGAACTGCGATGAATTGACATTCATCAATCAACCAATCAAAATTATAATAAAAAGCCATTCCCGGACTTTGACATTTTGCAGTCAAAATTATATTAATAGGTTTAGTTAAGTATATTTGAAACTTTCCTATCATGTCAGGTGGAAATACCAAAACGACCTTTACAAATATTTAGCTGAGCTTAATTAGTCGACGGGGCTTCTCTGGGATTTAACATATCTTGAAGTAGCCTATCACCATGTCTTGACACACTGGTAAAGTAAAGTAAAAATTATGACATCACATCATCACATATGTCTACAAAGTATCATTACATTGTCAACTGTATGGAAAAATATATCATACATATTTCTCCAGTCAAGCTTCATATACATTATGTTACCAGTTACATACATTATCAACCAGCAAATGTCGAAATTCCCATAATGGAAAACCTCAAATTGATCAATTCTCGGAAGACAATTGACAGAATCAATTATACATACATATGACTTTATTAACCCATATAATACCAACAACTCTAAATGTTCGAATTTTTTGATGAAATTTTGTTTCCTAAGCACTGAGGTACCAACTCCGACGGTGCAATAATTATTTTGAAAAAATTTATATTTTTTATAGCTTTTTCGACCCGTACTTTTAAAAGTTCATTGTTGGAGCTTGCGTTTTTGGAACATTGCATCGTACTTTTAAAAGTACATCATATTTGAATGATGTACTTTTAAAAGCACGGGTTTAATAAATAATGTACTTTTAAAAGTACGGGTTTAATGAATAGTGTACTTCTGGAGGTACGTTACTTAATTAGGAAAGAAGAAGAATTAAACAGAAACTCAGGGTCAGATAATAAAACTAAAAGCCCTTGTCAGAATGGCTGAATAAAATTTAAACAATACCATACAAAATTTAAGTGGTACACTAAACAAATCATGATGGTGGGAACAGCTATACTTATAAACTACTATCATAATTCCATTTACCAATTTACTAGAATTTTACGAAAGTTTTCAGGTTTTGTGCTTTTTACTCTAACTGATGATAAGGCTCACAACTTAAAGAATACCTAAAATGGTGAGAATGAGAAGAGAGTAGCAGAAGCTGAGAAAGTTTTAGAGGAACAGAAGAGAGTAGCAGAAGCTGAGAGAGTTCTAGAGGAGCAGAAGAGAGTAGCAGAAGCTGAGCGTATTCTAGAGGAGCAGAAGAGAGTAGCAGAAGCTGAGAAAATTCTAGAGGAGCATAAGAGAGCAGTAGAAGCTGAGAGATTTCTAGAGGAGCAGAAGAAGGTAGCAGAAGCTGAGCGTATTCTAGAGGAACAGAAGAGAGTAGCAGAAGCTGAGCGTATTCTAGAGGAACAGAAGAGATTAGCAGAAGCTGAGAGAGTAAGAGAGTTCTAGAGGAGCAGAAGAAGGTAGCAGAAGCTGAGCCAGACGCTTTTCACAACTTAAAGAATACCTATAATGGTGAGAATGAGAAGAGAGTAGCAGAAGCTGAGAAAGTTCTAGAGGAACAGAAGAGAGTAGCAGAAGCTGAGAGAGTTCTAGAGGAGCAGAAGAGAGTAGCAGAAGCTGAGAGAGTTCTAGAGGAGCAGAAGAAGGTAGCAGAAGCTGAGCGTATTCTAGAGGAGCAGGAGAGAGTAGCAGAAGCTGAGAAAGTTCTAGAGGAGCAGGAGAGAGTAGCAGAAGCTGAGAGAGTTCTAGAGGAACAGAAGAGAGTAGCAGAAGCTGAGAGAGTCTAGAGGAACAGAAGAGAGTAGCAGAAGCTGAGCCTATTCTAGAGGAACAGAAGAGAGTAGCAAAAGCTGAGAGAGTTCTAGAGGAACAGAAGAGAGTAGCAGAAGCTGAGAGAGTCTAGAGGAACAGAAGAGAGTAGCAGAAGCTGAGAAAGTTCTAGAGGAGCAGGAGAGAGTAGCAGAAGCTGAGAGAGTCTAGAGGAACAGAAGAGAGTAGCAGAAGCTGAGAAAGTTCTGGAGGAGCAGGAGAGAGTAGCAGAGGCTGAGACAATTCTAGAGGAACAGAAGAGAGTAGCAGAGGCTGAGACAATTCTAGAGGAGCAGAACAACTCAGCTGAGGAAATGCATAGACTACAAGGAAAGGAATCTTATGTTGGAACAGCAGATTGCTGATGGCACACAATCATGTCAGTATTTAATAGTAAACATACATCGGGATTAGGATACCAGTTACAAGATCTAGGATTGTAAACATTAAGCGGGGGAGGGGGGATCAGGTACCAAGTGCCGTACGTGACGTCGACTAGGTGCAACTTTGGAATTTACAAAAAAGACCCATCCACCCCCTTCGCGGTACTAACTGTTTTTTTTCGGATAATATTTAGGACACCCACCCCTTTTGCGGTACTAACTGTTGAGAAATCACGGTACTGACTGTGTCTTGGTATATAAAATAAGATACCCACCCATAAATTGCTTTAAACAGCTCATTAAACATTGGGAAATGGGCAAATTATACCCACTATTTAATAGGGGTTTTGTTTTCAATGCAGTCGAATTAAATAATAAGTTACAAAAAAAGGAAAAAAAATAAAAAAACCCAAAAAAAAGGAAAAAAACCTCAAAACCCAAAAAAAAAACCATTCCCAATATTGAAATTTGAGGTAAAATGGATTTTTTGGGGTTGGACACCCCCTTAGTACCTTGTACTAACTGATTTTCTGGGAAATGAGCAGCAGACCCACCACTTAGTACAAATGTACTAACTGTGTTTTGGAAGAAAATATGACCCACCCCCCCCCCCCCCAACGTCACGTACGATTCTGACCTTATGATCCCCCCCCCCCCCCGCATTAACTCATTAAGAAAGAGTATATTAAAAGCCACTCTGGAAGACGTGGAATAACCGAGTGAAAACGTGGATCCTTCAAGATCGACTAAATCCCAGAAGTAACAACAAAAAGTTTTTGTTGTGACTTCCGTTCTGATTCAGAACAATTTACCTACCATTACAGTCTTACCGACATTAATCATGCCAGCACACATTGTGTAGTCTATATAAACCTGTACTTTTAAAAGTACATTTTTCATGAAACCTGTCCTTTTAAAAGTACATCATTCGAAGATAATGCACTTTTAAAAGTACGTACTTTTAAAAGTACATCATTGTCTAGAATGATGTACTTTTAAAAGTACACCCAATTTACATCTCAATTAGAGACAATTTATGATTTTTATGTCACCCCACATTATTGCCTATTTATTGCACAATCGTTTAGGCAATATCAAAAAACCAAATTTGGGATCCATCAAAGTTGGAGAATTGGCTGGTGGTACCGAGAATTTACCTTTTTTCAAAGTACCATTTTTGACCACCTTTGCCAACATCCTATAAATTTCTTGCTTTTTTTAACAATCTGGTCAGGGTGTTAAAATCATCAGCAGACCTTTTCTAACCTAATGCAAAAAACTGTATCAAAAAATATTTGTCATGAGACAAGTTAGGTCACTGTTTATGAACCGTACTTTTAAAAGTACCGTGGAAGAATATGGGTTAAGAGTACATGTTATTCTCTACCTGAAGTTAATAATTAGTTACATTATTAGCTATTTTAAATAGAACAATATTAATAGCAACGTGAGAAACTGGTGAAGGAGCCTTTGGTAAAAACAGATTCGGAAAAGTCAATGCGGCACTCGGTCCTCGGTATTTTCGTCGGTATATTGTCCATTATCTGCCTTCTGCTTTCATAGTTTCAACAATAGTGAGTTCTAAATATACAGCTCCTAACCGACTTTGTATGAATGACTGAAATACCTGAGAATCCGCATTCCTATAACTCAAAAGCATGAGTAACTCGTGATAGTATGATGTCGACTCGACTTAGGGCGGCTTCAACGTCCGAACAGAGATAGTTTTTTTCCAAATCTGTCTATCCATCATGAGTTTGTTAATCTCCTTGCTGTCGTCAAGCCCCGTGTCCTTCCGAGGATGTCAATAAATGTGAGGTGTGGTCTTCCCCTTCGACGATGTCCTTGAAGGGGTTCCCAGAAGAGAAGTTGATGACTCAATAGTTCTTCATGTCTGGCTAAATGGCCTGCGAGTCTCATCCTCCGTACAGCTATCTTATCAGATGCTCTGATGAGGTGTCCATACACCTTGGCGTTAGTCTGCCGCTCTTTCCAGTCTATGTTAAGCGCCATCCTCAGCATTCTCGTATAACATCCATCAATACGTTTTGCGAGGGTCTGGCTGACAGTCCATGTTTCAGAGCCATATAGAAGGATGGACTCAACTGTAGCCAGGAACAGTCGTATCTTGAGATCTCTACGCATATCCGACTTCCATACAAGCTTCATCTGGTGACACGCTCCCCATGCCTTAGCTTTCCTCACTTCGAAGTCCTTCTCCGAACTTTTCATTCTACTACCCATATATCGGATGTGTATTATGATGTATGATTCTTAAAAACTCTAAATTAAATTTGGCGCTCCTTCAAGCTTAAATCATTCACCTTACCTTTTGTATTTATCAAAGCTTTCTTTGGTTATCTCACTTCGAGTACCTCAATCGTGTCTTGTGCAGTGAAATCATTAATTGTTAACTGAAGAAAAAAATAGTCAAAACACTAGACAATGAAATTTGTATAGGGTTGTCATGTGATCGCCACCCTAGCTTTAGCTTATTACTAATTAGTTACACATCCGATATTCAGTATTAATTGAACTTCGCTGATTGGGTTGCATCACCTGATCTTAGCCAGATTAGAGTGGTCATCGGTGCAGAAAAACCATGTAAACTGGTAGTCAAAAATCAAAACCCTGATTTACCATTAAATTTCTCCTTGTCCCAAACTGTATGGTAAATCGGGTGAAAAAAGGAACAAGAAGCTGCTTAAGAAAAACGTTATCATTGTGATAACATTTCTGCCAATTCAATTTTGGGTACAGTAAGAATTAATGATCTTATCATTCAATATTCAGGAAGATTTTACTATGTTAAGATTTCAACACTGAAGTTAAAAGACCCTAAAATGCTGAACATGAAGTGAAGAATTCTGCACTGCAATGAATAGCAGTTCTCTCGAAATCAGTGTGTATGTAATCAAATCAATCTTATCAACTTCATCCTAAACAAGAGGAGATAGTTTAGTTGAGATTTATTTTGTTACAATTTATTATAGATAAACTGTAATATTGGGTAAATGCAACTGCTTAATCCCCCTTTAGGCCGAGTGGCTCCTTGCTAAATGGAATATCTCCTCCCACCAAACTTGATATGAGATATTCTTCATCCTCTAGCAGTGGGACCTCCACATGTGAGCTTGTTTTATTTCTTAATCAGAAATAGTTAAAATTTGTTTGTATGTAAGCTGAGCAGATAACTCCAATAACAAATAAGTCTAATGTAGTGGAATATTTGATATTTTCCTAGCTAGTAGTCGGAATGTCTGGAGCCAAATTTTGTGACAATTTTGATTCACTATAATATATAAGTATCTAAGTATCTAACTATCTAACTATCTAACTATCTAACTATCTAACTATCTAACTATCTACTATCTAACTATCTAACTATCTAACTATCTAACTATCTAACTATCTACTATCTAACTATCTAACTATCTAACTATCTAACTATCTAACTATCTAACTATCTAACTATCTAACTATCTAACTATCTAACTATCTAACTATCTAACTATCTAACTATCTAACTATCTAACTATCTAACTATCTAACTATCTAACTATCTAACTATCTAAGATCTGACTATCTAACTATCTAAGTAACTAACTATCTAACTATCTAACTATCTAAGATCTGACTGTCTAAACCAAACCCGCAGTTGACCACGAGACAGCCACTACAGCCTCAACACCGGCTACTCTGAACTCAGATTATGCAATACCAGTAGTTCCTGGACCGAGCAGTTTAGTGACCATATCAGGCATTTCTACCACTCAAACCACCCAGGTTAACTTAACTAACTTACCAACTAACTAACTAACTAACCAGGTTAACTTAACTAACTAACTAACTAACTAAGTAAACTCTTATTTAACTGAATTTCGGGAGTCTGGTAGATATTTACCCCCCGGGGGTATATAATAATTTAGACCTTATGTCAATATATCAATACTATTGCCCAACTATTACCATTGCCCAACTATTACCATTGCCCAACTATTACCATTGCCCAACTATGCAACTATTAATAATATATAGTTGGCATCGGTATTTCACTTTTTCTGTGCATAATCAAAGAATTTAAGGCCCATTTTGAACTTGATTTCCAATTAAAGAATTAATCAGACATACGTTTTCGGACCATCGCCGATAGTTACTGTTGACGAAGATGAACTTCAGAAAGAATGTACCGGAATCATGCTGAGAAACGGGAAAAAGTACACCAAGTTTTTCTATTTTTTGTTCAAATTATAGTTGTTTATGTCAACAAATGTTCAGTTGATGTTCATAACTACTTAGCATAAATTTATTAGATAGCTAGAAGTATTCATTGATAAGATAATGATACTATCTTCATATCTAGTTGGTACATATAATTTGTGATGTTACAACCTTGTGTCAGGTACAAAGTTTCACTCTCACTGTTCTCACTAACCTGGGAGAGGGAGAGGAAAGCGAAGCGAATAGGAAAAAGTTCGTCAGAACCATTTTTTTCAATTTGCAATATAATCTTCTTTTATACATTAATTATATCTATTTTCAATTAATGTTTTTCAACTGTAAATGTTCCAAATTTGACGATAAAATCTTTTAAAGATGTATCAAAATTAGAGGACCCTAATTTATTAAAACAATGCAAGATGTACCGATTACAAGTTAACCCTGACTTATTTAGAAGGACAGAAGAAGTACGAGTTAAAGTTAGAAGACGTGTTGGGAGCCTGCTCTCATCTCAACTTTAACTTCAGACACCTATTCAGAAAGGGTCGTGATCTCTTCAAACTTAGAGTTTACACTTACAAAAAAGTTGGTGATTTAATTCGGTATATATCTCAACATTTAATTCATCATATAAACAACATTGGTATTTGTAATTTTGTTAGGGAACTATAGTCTGTACAGCTGTAGTCTGTACAGTGTACACTCTTGAAAAGACGCTATGATTTTGGTCTTAACAATGATTTCGCTCGATTTTGGTCTTAACAATGATTTCGCTCTGAGAATCAGGGTCAGTAGCTCAATTGGTAGAGCAAGAGACGCGAAATCTCGAGGTTCTGGGATCATTCCCCAGTTGTCCCTAGTTTTTCAGAGTTAATCATCACATATAGACAGCATGAGAGTAGGCCTGGCCATCTCGAAGTGATAAAAATACATACATACATGTTACATGGCGAGATCTCCATCCAAAAGGATTAGTCTGCGTCATCTGCGTCATTACTTTGTATTATACAACTTCGGCGGGTAATATTTCTCCATCCTTTTCGATCTGCAGCCAATCTTCTCATACAATCAATCGTGAGTCCATTACGATCCAATCTCTGCTCAGCATCTTCAATAAATACATCATTTAAGCTCTTCCTAGGCCTGCCTCTTGATCGTTTCCCATGCTTGGGTTTCCATTCAAGTAGATAGTTAGGTAACCGATCTTCAGGCATTCTACTGACATGTCCAAACCAACGTAGCCGTTTTGTTGCTATTATGTCAGTAAGAGCAGTTATTGAAGCCCTTCTTAAAACATCTTCATTTCTTACTCGATGGAACCACCTCACTCTCAGGATTCTGCGTAAGCAGTACTGATGGAAAGACTCTAATCTTCTTGTCTGCACTTGAGTCGTGTTCCATATCTCAGAGATAAAAATACAACAGAATATAATACACATATTACACATTTTAAAAACTAAGAACGCCATAATTTGATGTTAATTACCTATCTAATATCCAATATATCATCTATTATTTGGAAATTCGGATCAATTCATTAATCAGACAACGTTACAGATGGAAGATGGAAAATGGAAAAATAGTTATTTCCAGTTCTTTTGTCATTCTTTGGTGGAAGTGCAAGAGTGGGCCAAAAGTATCAACATGAGAATAAACTGTTAGTGATTTTGTGAAATACTAATTAAGTTAAATGATCATGTTAACATTGGTTAAGCAACCAGTCTGAATTGGCTTTAAATACTGAACTAATTCATTCTGAAGTAAGCACTTTGAAGTGGTTACTTTTAGATTTGTAGTTTTATTTTAGAGATGTTTGTACATTGAGCCCTGATTTAAAATTTTCATCTCACTTCCTTTTGATCTAGGTACTTTACATAATAATACCTATTCTGTTATCTAATGTATGGTTCTACCCCTTATATTCACTACCCCTTATTTCAGTGCTACAAAGACCACGCAGAGTCCACGTGTTCGTTAACCCTTTCAGTGGGGAGGGGTTAGCTTGCAAAGTTTACAACACTAAAATAGCTCACATATTCCAAATAGCTGGGATTACAACTACTGTTACAGGTAACTACTACTGTTACAGGTAACTACTACTGTTACAGGTAACTACTACTGTTACAGGTAACTAATACTGTTACAGGTAACTAGTACTGTTACAGGTAACTACTACTGTTACAGGTAACTAATACTGTTACAGGTAACTAGTACTGTTACAGGTAACTACTACTGTTACAGGTAACTACTACTGTTACAGGTAACTACTACTGTTACAGGTAACTACTACTGTTACAGGTAACTAGTACTGTTACAGGTAACTACTACTGTTACAGGTAACTACTACTGTTACAGGTAACTAGTACTGTTACAGGTAACTACTACTGTTACAGGTAACTACTACTGTTACAGGTAACTACTACTGTTACAGGTAACTACTACTGTTACAGGTAACTACTACTGTTACAGGTAACTACTACTGTTACAGGTAACTACTACTGTTACAGGTAACTACTACTGTTACAGGTAACTACTACTGTTACAGGTAACTACTACTGTTACAGGTAACTACTACTGTTACAGGTAACTACTACTGTTACAGGCAACTACTACTGTTACAGGTAACTACTACTGTTACAGGTAACTACTACTGTTACAGGTAACTACTACTGTTACAGGCAACTACTACTGTTACAGGTAACTACTACTGTTACAGGTAACTACTACTGTTACAGGTAACTAATACTGTTACAGGTAACTAGTACTGTTACAGGTAACTACTACTGTTACAGGTAACTACTACTGTTACAGGTAACTACTACTGTTACAGGTAACTACTACTGTTACAGGTAACTACTACTGTTACAGGTAACTACTACTGTTACAGGTAACTACTACTGTTACAGGTAACTACTACTGTTACAGGTAACTACTACTGTTACAGGTAACTAGTACTGTTACAGGTAACTAGTACTGTTACAGGTAACTACTACTGTTACAGGTAACTACTACTGTTACAGGTAACTACTACTGTTACAGGTAACTACTACTGTTACAGGTAACTACTACTGTTACAGGTAACTACTACTGTTACAGGTAACTACTACTGTTACAGGTAACTACTACTGTTACAGGTAACTACTACTGTTACAGGTAACTACTACTGTTACAGGTAACTACTACTGTTACAGGTAACTACTACTGTTACAGGTAACTACTACTGTTACAGGTAACTACTACTGTTACAGGTAACTACTACTGTTACAGGTAACTACTACTGTTACAGGTAACTACTACTGTTACAGGTAACTACTACTGTTACAGGTAACTACTACTGTTACAGGTAACTACTACTGTTACAGGTAACTACTACTGTTACAGGTAACTACTACTGTTACAGGTAACTACTACTGTTACAGGTAACTAGTACTGTTACAGGTAACTACTACTGTTACAGGTAACTACTACTGTTACAGGTAACTACTACTGTTACAGGTAACTACTACTGTTACAGGTAACTACTACTGTTACAGGTAACTACTACTGTTACAGGTAACTACTACTGTTACAGGTAACTACTACTGTTACAGGTAACTACTACTGTTACAGGTAACTACTACTGTTACAGGTAACTACTACTGTTACAGGTAACTACTACTGTTACAGGTAACTACTACTGTTACAGGTAACTACTACTGTTACAGGTAACTACTACTGTTACAGGTAACTACTACTGTTACAGGTAACTACTACTGTTACAGGTAACTACTACTGTTACAGGTAACTACTACTGTTACAGGTAACTACTACTGTTACAGGTAACTACTACTGTTACAGGTAACTACTACTGTTACAGGTAACTACTACTGTTACAGGTAACTACTACTGTTACAGGTAACTACTACTGTTACAGGTAACTACTACTGTTACAGGTAACTACTACTGTTACAGGTAACTACTACTGTTACAGGTAACTACTACTGTTACAGGTAACTACTACTGTTACAGGTAACTACTACTGTTACAGGTAACTACTACTGTTACAGGTAACTACTACTGTTACAGGTAACTACTACTGTTACAGGTAACTACTACTGTTACAGGTAACTACTACTGTTACAGGTAACTACTACTGTTACAGGTAACTACTACTGTTACAGGTAACTACTACTGTTACAGGTAACTACTACTGTTACAGGTAACTACTACTGTTACAGGTAACTACTACTGTTACAGGTAACTACTACTGTTACAGGTAACTACTACTGTTACAGGTAACTACTACTGTTACAGGTAACTACTACTGTTACAGGTAACTACTACTGTTACAGGTAACTACTACTGTTACAGGTAACTACTACTGTTACAGGTAACTACTACTGTTACAGGTAACTACTACTGTTACAGGTAACTACTACTGTTACAGGTAACTACTACTGTTACAGGTAACTACTACTGTTACAGGTAACTACTACTGTTACAGGTAACTACTACTGTTACAGGTAACTACTACTGTTACAGGTAACTACTACTGTTACAGGTAACTACTACTGTTACAGGTAACTACTACTGTTACAGGTAACTACTACTGTTACAGGTAACTACTACTGTTACAGGTAACTACTACTGTTACAGGTAACTACTACTGTTACAGGTAACTACTACTGTTACAGGTAACTACTACTGTTACAGGTAACTACTACTGTTACAGGTAACTACTACTGTTACAGGTAACTACTACTGTTACAGGTAACTACTACTGTTACAGGTAACTACTACTGTTACAGGTAACTACTACTGTTACAGGTAACTACTACTGTTACAGGTAACTACTACTGTTACAGGTAACTACTACTGTTACAGGTAACTACTACTGTTACAGGTAACTACTACTGTTACAGGTAACTACTACTGTTACAGGTAACTACTACTGTTACAGGTAACTACTACTGTTACAGGTAACTACTACTGTTACAGGTAACTACTACTGTTACAGGTAACTACTACTGTTACAGGTAACTACTACTGTTACAGGTAACTACTACTGTTACAGGTAACTACTACTGTTACAGGTAACTACTACTGTTACAGGTAACTACTACTGTTACAGGTAACTACTACTGTTACAGGTAACTACTACTGTTACAGGTAACTACTACTGTTACAGGTAACTACTACTGTTACAGGTAACTACTACTGTTACAGGTAACTACTACTGTTACAGGTAACTACTACTGTTACAGGTAACTACTACTGTTACAGGTAACTACTACTGTTACAGGTAACTACTACTGTTACAGGTAACTACTACTGTTACAGGTAACTACTACTGTTACAGGTAACTACTACTGTTACAGGTAACTACTACTGTTACAGGTAACTACTACTGTTACAGGTAACTACTACTGTTACAGGTAACTACTACTGTTACAGGTAACTACTACTGTTACAGGTAACTACTACTGTTACAGGTAACTACTACTGTTACAGGTAACTACTACTGTTACAGGTAACTACTACTGTTACAGGTAACTACTACTGTTACAGGTAACTACTACTGTTACAGGTAACTACTACTGTTACAGGTAACTACTACTGTTACAGGTAACTACTACTGTTACAGGTAACTACTACTGTTACAGGTAACTACTACTGTTACAGGTAACTACTACTGTTACAGGTAACTACTACTGTTGCAGGTAACTACTACTGTTGCAGGTAACTACTACTGTTGCAGGTAACTACTACTGTTGCAGGTAACTACTACTGTTGCAGGTAACTACTACTGTTGCAGGTAACTACTACTGTTACAGGTAACTACTACTGTTACAGGTAACTACTACTGTTACAGGTAACTACTACTGTTGCAGGTAACTACTACTGTTGCAGGTAACTACTACTGTTGCAGGTAACTACTACTGTTGCAGGTAACTACTACTGTTGCAGGTAACTACTACTGTTACAGGTAACTACTACTGTTACAGGTAACTACTACTGTTACAGGTAACTACTACTGTTACAGGTAACTACTACTGTTACAGGTAACTACTACTGTTACAGGTAACTACTACTGTTACAGGTAACTACTACTGTTACAGGTAACTACTACTGTTACAGGTAACTACTACTGTTACAGGTAACTACTACTGTTACAGGTAACTACTACTGTTACAGGTAACTACTACTGTTACAGGTAACTACTACTGTTACAGGTAACTACTACTGTTACAGGTAACTACTACTGTTACAGGTAACTACTACTGTTACAGGTAACTACTACTGTTACAGGTAACTACTACTGTTACAGGTAACTACTACTGTTACAGGTAACTACTACTGTTACAGGTAACTACTACTGTTACAGGTAACTACTACTGTTACAGGTAACTACTACTGTTACAGGTAACTACTACTGTTACAGGTAACTACTACTGTTACAGGTAACTACTACTGTTACAGGTAACTACTACTGTTACAGGTAACTACTACTGTTACAGGTAACTACTACTGTTACAGGTAACTACTACTGTTACAGGTAACTACTACTGTTACAGGTAACTACTACTGTTACAGGTAACTACTACTGTTACAGGTAACTACTACTGTTACAGGTAACTACTACTGTTACAGGTAACTACTACTGTTACAGGTAACTACTACTGTTACAGGTAACTACTACTGTTACAGGTAACTACTACTGTTACAGGTAACTACTACTGTTACAGGTAACTACTACTGTTACAGGTAACTACTACTGTTACAGGTAACTACTACTGTTACAGGTAACTACTACTGTTACAGGTAACTACTACTGTTACAGGTAACTACTACTGTTACAGGTAACTACTACTGTTACAGGTAACTACTACTGTTACAGGTAACTACTACTGTTACAGGTAACTACTACTGTTACAGGTAACTACTACTGTTACAGGTAACTACTACTGTTACAGGTAACTACTACTGTAACAGGTAACTACTACTGTTACAGGTAATATTGCCAGATTACATGAGCTTCTTTGTATAAATACACAGGGTTGTGGTAAGCTGCTTTACCACAAAACACACATTATTATGCAATCCTACAGAACTTAACAAGTTGTTAACAGGAAATCATCCCTGGCTTACACAACCAATCTCCTGCATCCCATTGGCTAGTTGTCATGGTTACAGTGTTCCATTGGCTAGCTTTTGAGCTTGGTTACTTCTGATTGTGTGTTTCAGTAGTAGTACTGGGAGATGTGTGTACTTTGTGTAGTCTACATGGGTACAGACACACATCTTTATCTTTAATCTTTTCAAACAGTACATAATTATACAGGATTAAGTTATTATAAACAAACCCAGATATAATAAAAGGAGAAAACCAATAGTGTACCCCATGTATCCAGTACCCAGTATAACAAAAACCAAATTATGTATAGGAGCCACCAAAACAAGGTGCAGTAATAAATACCACACCCGCAATAACAAGGGGCTGTAGCAAATAAAGTACAATAAAGAAAACAATCTCGCATCCTAACTACTGATAACTACCGGGGGTCCCTAATGGTTGAGAAGTACAACAGAAAAAGGTCACAATATTATAAGTTTGTGTTTTGCGCAGCTAATTTAGGCAAATAATAAGTTTATTTTAAAGTTAGTTAAGATTTAGTTCTTCGTATAGTATTTTAAGTGAGTATCATTGTTTTATTCCTGATTAGCGTCGACTGCTTCCTTTCCATTAGATTTCTTTCTTATGCACATCAGTGTGAAATATATTGTGAAGAGTAAGTTTCCAAGTATAGAAATTATCCCTGCAACTATCCATCCTACTGGCAGACCGTTCTTCACTGCGACAGAATCTTCTAAAAAGTTATTTATCAAACTATCGTAATTATTGATATCATAACTTTAGCAGTTCTAATTGTCCCTTGTATTACAATCCGAGAGCAGTGCTGTTTTTAGTTAAGATACTAAAACTGACCGGGCTCGCTACAAAGTGGTCTGCTTAGTTAAGATACTAAAACTGACCGGGCTCGCTACAAAGTGGTCTGCTTGTTAGTTAAGATACTAAAACTAACCGGGCTCGCTACAAAGTGGTCTGCTTGTTAGTTAAGATACTAAAACTAACCGGGCTCGCTACAAAGTGGTCTGCTTGTTAGTTAAGATACTAAAACTAACCGGGCTCGCTACAAAGTGGTCTGCTTAGTTAAGATACTAAAACTAACCGGGCTCGCTACAAAGTGGTCTGCTTAGTTAAGATACTAAAACTAACCGGGCTCGCTACAAAGTGGTCTGCTTAGTTAAGATACTAAAACTAACCGGGCTCGCTACAAATTGGTCTGCTTAGTTAAGATACTAAAACTAACCGGGCTCGCTACAAAGTGGTCTGCTTGTTAGTTAAGATACTAAAACTAACCGGGCTCGCTACAAAGTGGTCTGCTTAGTTAAGATACTAAAACTAACCGGGCTCGCTACAAAGTGGTCTGCTTAGTTAAGATACTAAAACTAACCGGGCTCGCTACAAAGTGGTCTGCTTAGTTAAGATACTAAAACTAACCGGGCTCGCTACAAAGTGGTCTGCTTAGTTAAGATACTAAAACTAACCGGGCTCGCTACAAAGTGGTCTGCTTAGTTAAGATACTAAAACTAACCGGGCTCGCTACAAAGTGGTCTGCTTAGTTAAGATACTAAAACTAACCGGGCTCGCTACAAAGTGGTCTGCTTAGTTAAGATACTAAAACTAACCGGGCTCGCTACAAAGTGGTCTGCTTAGTTAAGATACTAAAACTAACCGGGCTCGCTACAAAGTGGTCTGCTTAGTTAAGAAACTAAAACTAACCGGGCTCGCTACAAAGTGGTCTGCTTGTTAGTTAAGATACTAAAACTAACCGGGCTCGCTACAAAGTGGTCTGCTTAGTTAAGAAACTAAAACTAACCGGGCTCGCTACAAAGTGGTCTGCTTAGTTAAGATACTAAAACTAACCGGGCTCGCTACAAAGTGGTCTGCTTAGTTAAGATACTAAAACTAACCGGGCTCGCTACAAAGTGGTCTGCTTAGTTAAGATACTAAAACTAACCGGGCTCGCTACAAAGTGGTCTGCTTAGTTAAGATACTAAAACTAACCGGGCTCGCTACAAAGTGGTCTGCTTAGTTAAGATACTAAAACTAACCGGGCTCGCTACAAAGTGGTCTGCTTTAGTTAAGATACTAAAACTAACCGGGCTCGCTACAAAGTGGTCTGCTTGTTAGTTAAGATACTAAAACTAACCGGGCTCGCTACAAAGTGGTCTGCTTAGTTAAGATACTAAAACTAACCGGGCTCGCTACAAAGTGGTCTGCTTAGTTAAGATACTAAAACTAACCGGGCTCACTACAAAGTGGTCTGCTTAGTTAAGATACTAAAACTAACCGGGCTCGCTACAAAGTGGTCTGCTTGTTAGTTAAGATACTAAAACTAACCGGGCTCGCTACAAAGTGGTCTGCTTAGTTAAGATACTAAAACTAACCGGGCTCGCTACAAAGTGGTCTGCTTGTTAGTTAAGATACTAAAACTAACCGGGCTCGCTACAAAGTGGTCTGCTTGTTAGTTAAGATTCTAAAACTGACCGGGCTCGCTACAAAGTGGTCTGCTTGTTAGTTAGGATACTAAAACTAACCGGGCTCGCTACAAAGTGGTCTGCTTAGTTAAGATACTAAAACTAACCGGGCTCGCTACAAAGTGGTCTGCTTAGTTAAGATACTAAAACTAACCGGGCTCGCTACAAAGTGGTCTGCTTGTTAGTTAAGATACTAAAACTAACCGGGCTCGCTACAAAGTGGTCTGCTTAGTTAAGATACTAAAACTAACCGGGCTCGCTACAAAGTGGTCTGCTTAGTTAAGATACTAAAACTAACCGGGCTCGCTACAAAGTGGTCTGCTTAGTTAAGATACTAAAACTAACCGGGCTCGCTACAAAGTGGTCTGCTTGTTAGTTAAGATACTAAAACTAACCGGGCTCGCTACAAAGTGGTCTGCTTGTTAGTTAAGATACTAAAACTAACCGGGCTCGCTACAAAGTGGTCTGCTTGAATAAGCGAAATGCCCGTCTTTGCTGCAGGTCACCTTGTTATCTCCACTTTGTTCATATCCCTCTTCGCAGCTCAGATTCAAAACCGTTCCAACATTTACTGGAAACTCTTTATCTGCTTCCATGTGCTTACCTACCTTCCCGATTTCTTTTATTCCGTAACATTTCGCTGAGGATAAAATATAAAATGTAAAATATAGATAATTTATCACCGATATGATTGAAGTAGTTTTTAGTTCGTATAAAATGCTGCATCAGAATGAAAAGCACGCTGTTAAAAGTGAAACAACATCACATTGCTGTGAGTATGAGTATATGATCATAATTATCAATATAATATCCACTGGATTATCCACTGGTGGTTTTTTAGAAATAACTTTTGGTTAAGTTACTGAAACTAACCGATCCGACTACAAATTGGTTTGCTTGAAGAATTGTAAGCGAATTCGTTGTCTTTCATGCAGGTCACCTTACTATCTCCACTTAGTTCATATCCCTCTTCGCAGCTCAGATTCAAAACCGTTCCAGCGTCTACAGGAAACTCTTTATCTGCTTCCAAGTTCTTCCAATTGGAATTTAAATTCCAATCGGAATTTAAACCGGAGCATTCCACTGAGGGAAATGGGAAATAGTGATCACCAATTTATAAATTGATACAGACAAACGAATTTCAAAATTTTCCATTTGACACTTTTGTCATGTTTATTGTCTCTCTAAGTCCATATCTCTGCCAGTTTTAGGCTTTAAAAACTTCCACGAGTTCTACAATACGTAAAATCGATCATTTTGGGCTCAGTTTGGGCTCAGTTATTATTTCTTTACCTGAAAAAATGACTAACTCTGGTTCTATCTCGGTTCAAACTAATTGATTTTAAAACTGATTGATTTTAAAACTAATTGATTTTAAAACTAATTGATTTTAAAACTAATTGATTTTAAAACTAATCGATTTTAAAACTAATTGATTTTAAAACTAATTGATTTTATTCACCTGCTTTTATACCCTTTCTATAATAATCTGAGGCCGTGTCGAAGGCGAAGCTGATTAGCGCAGTCTGTCTCAGGTTCCATGCTTTATTCCAGTCACGTCTCGGTACACGACAGTATTCGTCTAGGAGCACATTAGCTACTTTCTCATTGTTGCAGTGGATGACTAGCCTGGTCGATCTCTCCGCCTCCTCACGGGTACCGGCAGTATAACGGTAGAAGGTAATCCTCCAAACTTTTTCTGTAGCGGAGGGTAGGGTAACTGTGAAATTAGTTTTAGAGCTCAAGGAAGGACTGCACTCAAGGATGTTGTACGAAGGAGACGGGGTGAAGTTGATAATGACACCTCCCGATGGGGAGGTTCTCCAGCCGTAGGGTGACATCGGGTATTTACTGTAGAAGTTCACCTTTATCCTTTCATCTCTTTCCCCTCCCACTACACTATTCGTCATTATTTCAAGTGAATTATTATTTGAAGGTCGGAAGTGGATCTTCTCGTTACGTGTTACTGGAGTCCAGCCTGTTGTTGTTAGCTTTGTGAATCTTGTTAAATATATCTTACTAACGGGAATATTGATTGAACTTTGTTTTTCTAACAATATCATCCTGCACTGTTCCCTAATCTAGTATCAACTGATAACGAAATAAGATGTTGTGAGTAGGTCACTATAAAGTATAAAGTAGTGACTGTTAGTCAGCATCGTTTAACTTTGTTAAAAACATGTTTAAATGTCACTAAATTACATGTAATTCCGGATCGGAACATTATTTATAAGTCGCATGGTTGAAATGTTTCTTGGGTAGAATTTGTATTGATCCCGTTTGTTGTGACAAGGGAAAGGCTCCTTTCCTGATAAGAGATTACAAATTACAAATACCCAAGAAACACTAAATTACACTAAATAACACTAAATAACACTAATTACACTAAATTACACTAACCACCAGGACAGGAGAGAGGATTCGTTCCGTTCTGAGCTTTAATCCTTAGTATCAGGCAAGCAACCAAGAACAGAATCATCGCGCCTTTGTAATGTTCTAGTTAATTCCAGAAAATGTTGATGATTTTATGTTATTATCAGACTCGGGGAGCACCTGTAAATGGCATTGTAACAAAAAGTTAAACAGTCATTTAGGGTGTAGAAATTAACAGCAGGCTGATTTGAGGTTCAATTAGAAAATATAACCACTATTACTAGTAAGTAATAACTGTAAGAAGCTAGGCAGTAAGCTGCAGCCAAACGTCCAATATTTAACCAAATTTGCGCTCTGCACGGGACTTTCCCTTTTTCAAAGGGGAGCCCCCCCCCCCCCACCCAACCCCCACCCCCCCTCCTCACCCCCGGCCCTCTGACTACGCTATTTGTACTATCACAACTATCAAAACAGAGTAAGATGGCAAAGTCAAAAAACACAGAAAACTAGTAACCAACACCACGAAACAGTCATAGTAGCAACTGAGTTAGGAGGTTTCCTTGACATCACACTCATATTCCAAATATGCACATATTAATTATCATCACTTCTGGGTAACATCTTATCGTCTAATTATTGCAGAGTACATATATCCGAGAGTAAACTACTCACTAGCTAGCCACCTTATTATCACGCGTATGCCGTATATAGAACTGAATAGTGAATATTGCACCTCTGGCAACGACTGCTTGGTGTAAACATTATCATCAAGACCTACTCAGAGGTCAGACTGCACAACGACAATACAATTCAAAAACTGAAGAACAACCACAGTTCATGTTTAAATTGTGTATGTTCATTAATATTCGCTTGGCTGAAACTTGACAAATAAAATAATGTTGGCTTTGTTGAGCTTAGCCAGTACTACAATAGATTATTTTGAACAAAAGTAGATTCCCTAAAAGGAATGAGAACGATCATGCCCTAGAAAGTTAAACGTTGTCAAACAGATGCTGAGTCAAATAATAGATACAGAAATTAGTCGATTATCAATCATTTTGACGGAAGGTTCTTCAGGCAGTATTTCACTGTGTTCTAACTGAAGATTTACACGACACAATTAGTAGTTGTTTATTAAAGTTGTTTATTATTTTACCCCTGAGTTGACACTGTAATTTCAGTGACTGACAGGCAGGAGATATGTTAACACTAAGTGTAATTTCAGTGACTGACAGGCAGGAGATATGTTAACACTAAGTGTAATTTCAGTGACTGACAGGCAGGAGATATGTTAACACTAAGTGTAATTTCAGTGACTGACAGGCAGGAGATATGTTAACACTAAGTGTAATTTCAGTGACTGACAGGCAGGAGATATGTTAACACTAAGTGTAATTTCAGTGACTGACAGGCAGGAGATATGTTAACACTAAGTGTAATTTCAGTGACTGACAGGCAGGAGATATGTTAACACTAAGTGTAATTTCAGTGACTGACACGCAGGAGATATGTTAACACTAAGTGTAATTTCAGTGACTGACACGCAGGAGATATGTTAACACTAAGTGTAATTTCAGTGACTGACAGGCAGGAGATATGTTAACACTAAGTGTAATTTCAGTGACTGACAGGCAGGAGATATGTTAACACTAAGTGTAATTTCAGTGACTGACAGGCAGGAGATATGTTAAAACTAAGTGTAATTTCAGTGACTGACACGCAGGAGATATGTTAACACTAAGTGTAATTTCAGTGACTGACACGCAGGAGATATGTTAACACTAAGTGTAATTTCAGTGACTGACAGGCAGGAGATATGTTAACACTAAGTGTAATTTCAGTGACTGACAGGCAGGAGATATGTTAACACTAAGTGTAATTTCAGTGACTGACAGGCAGGAGATATGTTAACACTAAGTGTAATTTCAGTGACTGACAGGCAGGAGATATGTTAACACTAAGTGTAATTTCAGTGACTGACAGGCAGGAGATATGTTAACACTAAGTGTAATTTCAGTGACTGACAGGCAGGAGATATGTTAACACTAAGTGTAATTTCAGTGACTGACAGGCAGGAGATATGTTAACACTAAGTGTAATTTCAGTGACTGACAGGCAGGAGATATGTTAACACTAAGTGTAATTTCAGTGACTGACAGGCAGGAGATATGTTAACACTAAGTGTAATTTCAGTGACTGACAGGCTGGAGATATGTTAACACTAAGTGTAATTTCAGTGACTGACAGGCAGGAGATATGTTAACACTAAGTGTAATTTCAGTGACTGACAGGCAGGAGATATGTTAACACTAAGTGTAATTTCAGTGACTGACAGGCAGGAGATATGTTAACACTAAGTGTAATTTCAGTGACTGACAGGCAGGAGATATGTTAACACTAAGTGTAATTTCAGTGACTGACAGGCTGGAGATATGTTAACACTAAGTGTAATTTCAGTGACTGACAGGCAGGAGATATGTTAACACTAAGTGTAATTTCAGTGACTGACAGGCAGGAGATATGTTAACACTAAGTGTAATTTCAGTGACTGACAGGCAGGAGATATGTTAACACTAAGTGTAATTTCAGTGACTGACAGGCAGGAGATATGTTAACACTAAGTGTAATTTCAGTGACTGAACGTCTGGAGATATGTTAACACTAAGTGTAATTTCAGTGACTGACAGGCAGGAGATATGTTAACACTAAGTGTAATTTCAGTGACTGACAGGCAGGAGATATGTTAACACTAAGTGTAATTTCAGTGACTGACAGGCAGGAGATATGTTAACACTAAGTGTAATTTCAGTGACTGAACGTCTGGAGATATGTTAACACTAAGTGTAATTTCAGTGACTGACAGGCAGGAGATATGTTAACACTAAGTGTAATTTCAGTGACTGACAGGCAGGAGATATGTTAACACTAAGTGTAATTTCAGTGACTGACAGGCAGGAGATATTTTAACACTAAGTGTAATTTCAGTGACTGACAGGCTGGAGATATGTTAACACTAAGTGTAATTTCAGTGACTGACAGGCAGGAGATATGTTAACACTAAGTGTAATTTCAGTGACTGACAGGCAGGAGATATGTTAACACTAAGTGTAATTTCAGTGACTGACAGGCAGGAGATATGTTAACACTAAGTGTAATTTCAGTGACTGACAGGCAGGAGATATGTTAACACTAAGTGTAATTTCAGTGACTGACAGGCAGGAGATATGTTAACACTAAGTGTAATTTCAGTGACTGACAGGCAGGAGATATGTTAACACTAAGTGTAATTTCAGTGACTGACAGGCAGGAGATATGTTAACACTAAGTGTAATTTCAGTGACTGACAGGCTGGAGATATGTTAACACTAAGTGTAATTTCAGTGACTGACACGCAGGAGATATGTTAACACTAAGTGTAATTTCAGTGACTGACAGGCAGGAGATATGTTAACACTAAGTGTAATTTCAGTGACTGACACGCTGGAGATATGTTAACACTAAGTGTAATTTCAGTGACTGACACGCAGGAGATATGTTAACACTAAGTGTAATTTCAGTGACTGACAGGCTGGAGATATGTTAACACTAAGTGTAATTTCAGTAGACAGTTTTTGGGTTTTTCCAAATAGTTTCTGATTATTCTGATTTGCGACAAATGATATTGCACTGTTAGGATAAACGACGTTTCAAAGTAACAACTTCTTATTCATGCTGACAAAATTGGTAAATATGTGAGAAAACTGTCTCATAAAATTTATTAATCAAAAATGGCTAAACGACAACAAATTGTTCAAATACTCGACTAAAATTAGAATAAAAATCTATATATATACAACACTACTCGATCTGCTATTCACTGTAATTTCAGTGACTGACAGGCAGGAGATATGTTAACACTAAGTGTAATTTCAGTGACTGACACGCAGGAGATATGTTAACACTAAGTGTAATTTCAGTGACTGACACGCAGGAGATATGTTAACACTAAGTGTAATTTCAGTGACTGACAGGCTGGAGATATGTTAACACTAAGTGTAATTTCAGTGACTGACAGGCAGGAGATATGTTAACACTAAGTGTAATTTCAGTGACTGACAGGCTGGAGATATGTTAACACTAAGTGTAATTTCAGTGACTGACAGGCAGGAGATATGTTAACACTAAGTGTAATTTCAGTGACTGACAGGCAGGAGATATGTTAACACTAAGTGTAATTTCAGTGACTGACACGCAGGAGATATGTTAACACTAAGTGTAATTTCAGTGACTGACAGGCTGGAGATATGTTAACACTAAGTGTAATTTCAGTGACTGACACGCTGGAGATATGTTAACACTAAGTGTAATTTCAGTGACTGACAGGCTGGAGATATGTTAACACTAAGTGTAATTTCAGTGACTGAACGGGCTGGACACGCAGGAGATATCGTCAGAGAAATGGATTTAAACTCAACTGATGCGTTAGTATTTAGTGACCAACTTAATTCATTTTACTTATATCAATCAACCAATCATTAATCCTCAAAGGATAGTTGTATCTAGTTGATTTGTCCTAGTTAGTTGATAAATTGGGTGTGGCACGGACTGCTGTAAGATTTGTCTTGATAAAATGCGTGTGATTTCTCCATACTCCTATTTATGTGATCTCCTTTGTTTCTGAAGCATGAGCATAACACAAATTTAATTGTAAAGGTTAAGTTTGTGAAATGTGGGGACAGCTTTCTTACACAAATATGGACACTCAAAGGTCTTACAAATTCCTAAGATACTAATTAAGAACAGTAGCCTTCGATAGAAATACCAATCTCACCCTGAGCGGGAGTAAACATTTCTTTGATAATTTTTCGATGTTTCAAATTGTATATGGGAGTTGGGACGCGTACAGAGTAATAAGTAAGACATTTTATTGGAAAAAATTACAAGCAAATTCCTTATTTGTAAGTTGTGAATTCTAGTTGTACGATTAACCTTCTAATAGCTAATAAATCGAGTGTTGAGGCGCCAACCGCCAACGCCAAATCTTATTAAGTTGATAAAAGCACGCCATCGTTAACACTTAAAATTCTCGCGCGCTACATGGCTGGCTGTTACATGATATGCGGATACGAAAATGCTTACATTTCCTGATTTCCCGCTTTGAATTGAAACAACTTCTCATATTCTCTGAATTAATTTGCTTTTTCTTCATAATGTACATAAATTAACTGATTTAAAAAAAACTCCAATTTTGAATTATTTGAGTCCATAATATCTTAATACACTTAGTTTGTTTTATAAAGACGGAGCCTTCATAAAATTAAAAAATGAAAGACGGCAAGACACATTTCACACACTGACCTTACTTCTACCAACAAATTTAAAGACGGGTTACGAAGAATTAAAGACGGTTAAGCCTTCGCCAAATTAACCGTCTATTTATTTAAAAAACTGAGTGTTATCTGAATTGAAGGGCTTAGGTTTACAGGCGTGTAGAATGTTAGAATGTTAGAAGCTTACATTTGTCTTGTGATAGATACTCATTTATCATCTATACTCTCGCAGGATAGTCTGCATAGGAGGGGACGGAGTATTCCACGAGGTGTTTAACGGCTTACTCTGGAGACAGCAATACGAAATGTTCGGAGAAGAAGCTAGAAAAGTGAATCCCCAACCCTGTCCTATCAAAATAGGCTTGATCCCCGCGGGTATTTTATCTAAATTTAGCAAAAATTTAGTTCTAAAATGTTTTGCCATTTTATCATGAAAGAAATGTGGTTGATAATGTTTTTAGTAACTGATTGTTCTCGAAGGTTCCACAAACACAGTAGTGTACTGTACAACAGGACTAGCAGATACTACCACAAGTGCTATGCAGATTGCAATGGGTAACTTCACTTTTAAAACTTTCGCGTGCATTAAAAAAGCTTTCGGTTCATATTTATTATTATTCTTCACGTTCTTTTGGATGTAAATGATTGAGATATAAAAGATTACATCTTTACACAGTTCCTAATTTGCAATATTAAATTCAGGAAGGGAATTAAAGATAGACCTCACGTCATGTTGGTTTGATGGAGAAATCGAGAGATTTGGCACAAACTTTTTAGGATACGGATTTTTCGGTAAACTTGAATATTACTGATGAATAAATTTCACGCTCATATTCTCATTGTGCAGATCAAACAAGTTAACATTCATAGTACAAATGAGAAAGTTTTCTAGATATAGAACAGGCCTCATCTCAGTATTAAATAGCGTAATTTCATATATAATATGTATTAAATAATTTATTTTGAATTATAATTTAAGTACCCAGGCGACGTGTTAAAGTCGAGTGAGGAGTACAGGTGGATGGGACCCACACGTTACGACTTCTCCGGGTTTAAAACTATTGTAAATCTCAAGTCTTACAAGGGACGGATAGAGTTTAAAGAAGGACTCACTTCCGGGTCTCCTCAAGATATTTGTAAACACGGGTAAGAAACAACCCCCCCCCCCCCCCCCCCCGACATTTGTAAACACGGGTAAGAAACAACCCCCCCACCCCCCCGACATTTGTAAACACGGGTAAGAAACAACCCCCCCCCCCCCCCCCCCGACATTTGTAAACACGGGTACGAAACAACCCCCCCCCCCCCCCGACATTTGTAAACACGGGTAAGAAACAACCCCCCCACCCCCCCGACATTTGTAAACACGGGTAAGAAACAACCCCCCCCCCCCCCCCCCCGACATTTGTAAACACGGGTAAGAAACAACCCCCCCACCCCCCCGACATTTGTAAACACGGGTAAGAAACAACCCCCCCACCCCCCCCCCCCCCCCCCCCCACCCCCCGACATTTGTAAACACGGGTAAGAAACAACCCCCCCCCCCCCCCCCGACATTTGTAAACACGGGTAAGAAACAACCCCCCCCCCCCCCCCCCCCGACATTTGTAAACACGGGTAAGAAACAACCCCCCCCCCCCCCCAATAAGGATCAATTGGATCTTTAGAGCTAGAGGGTGACTTAACGTCTAAGTGTTCACGTGTTTCTGTCGATTTATTATCGATGAAGTAACTGTTGCACCATCTCCCACGAAAATATGCTTTACAAGGTCTAGTGGGGATAAGAACCTTATTTGTTTTGTCACATGATTCTGGGTATTAATGCTGATAGGTTAATCACGTTCACTTGCTAAAAGTTAGAACGATATGATACACCAGTATCCACATTTCACCTGATAATCACAACAGATGTTTGGTGTGTAAAGAGACCACAGAACAGTCAGAAGGACAGTGGACTGTTCTAGAAGACCACTTTGTTTCTATAGACGGCTGTGTTATGTCCTGTTGTTCCCCGCAAGCCAACAAGGTTAGGACCGATATTTTAAGAATCCTTCGTTTTTAGAATCCTTTATTTTTAGTATCTTTGATTTTATTTTTAATTTGTTTAAATATGCAACCTGCCAAAGGAAGGACTATGTTACTTTGGATATTGCCACATTAAGGTCATGGTCAACATTTTAGAATAGCATGAACCCATTATAAAATAGATGTATCTTATTCGTTGACTAATTTAATCGTAGGCTGATTTTGACTACCATTAAATTTTAAAATAAATTACATGGATATTGTTGGTCATGGCCACAGTAACCAGCTGAATTAATTAAATATATCTAAGTTAACTTTTAAATTTGTATATTTATTAGCCAGGGTTCTGACTTAATTAAAGATATCTAAGTTAACTTTTAAATTTGTATATTTATTAGCCAGGGTTCTGAGTATCAATGCTTGCTCTGCGCCTCTACAACCACCTGATTCCACGTGCTACTTACCAACACATTCCTTGTGAAACATATTTCCGAAAAGCATTACTTCTTCCAGTTGGAGATATTTAGATGAAGCTGCAGTGACCTCCACCTCTTTGGCAAACATACAAATCTTATCGAAGATATATTTCTGCGACGCTTTCTCCACATATTCTATCTTTCCGATCAAGCTACCTTCTACAAATAGCTTGACACCGTCAATTCTGCCCATCATGTGGTTACTTCGGCCGTAGATGGTGGCTGAATGGATGAAGTAGCATTTGGGAAGCGTTAGTTTCCACCAGCCTCCTTTTGAGTTAGCCAGAGCAAATTTCCTGAAGGATTATTAATTTAAGAAATATTAAGGTGGCTGAGTTAATCATTAAATACCGTGAACTGTCTGAAGTTTTATCTACCCCACAGTAAACGTCAGTAAAGCAATGATAAGATTCAAAGCACACTTACCCGTTTTGTGAAATTGTGATTCCATCTATTGCATATTGAGCGAATCTGAACTTTGATCCATCATCTGATATTTGAGTATCAATCTGACTGGCTGTTCCATGTCTGGCTATGTTCTCCCAATTAGTTCCTGATCGAGATATTCAATTTACTTGTGTAGATTTAACATCAATTCATAGTAAAAACTGGTATAATGTGCTATCGGAATTGCAGGGTCTACTAGGGTCCTTATTTGCATACATTTTCATCGTATTATAGTCTGAAAGAAAAGTCATCTAAAAGCTAAAAATGAGAAGAGCTGCGAGACCACGTGGTTAAGTAGACCTCGTCAGGGTTACCTACCATCGCAAGATTTCCAGTTTACCAGGCCCTCATAGTTACTTTTCTTTATGATAACTATTTTATGAATAAATAAACAATAAAATAAATCTTTACTCTTACCTCCCTGGCAAGTACAGTAAGCGAGGTTTATTGAATTAATCACCAGAGAGACAACAAGAATTCGGGCAAGGCTCAACCAAAACATTGACAATCTGTTCTTTAGACTTTTAGAGAAAAGTTTATTTACTATCAGTAAAAGCAACTCGGTAGTAACCTGGAAATAAACCTTAGATGAAGCAATGAAGCAGTTCCTGGAGCAGTTCCACGCACGTTTTAAAACAACGATTCTATTGGCTGCACTCAGGTCATGTGTTCAATTCTGGGTGAGACTGGAGCGGTCTTTAGCCCTCTATAGTATTATAGAGGGCTAAAGACTTAACAGTATTGCATCAGACTAGCTTAGCCTAGTGAGTAGTGATGTGCTGTAAATTGTGTATACAATACTATACGACCCTGTATACTATATATCCCACCTGTTCTTCTTCTGAGTGTCAATTCTCTCTCAAATTTAGTCACCTGTCGCTGAATAGTCTTGAGATGAATAATTGTCCTGCTTTTCCTTAATTTTCTCCTTTATAAAATCCAAAAAAAAGTTCACATTTGGATACGAGTCTTGAAACACCCTGTATGAGAGCTTGCTAATGTTGTGGATACTAATGGTAATTCAGCGATACTCCCAGACGTTATACACAAGCCATAACAGAGTAAGAGCGACCTGAGTCCCTTCCTTCTTCGGGGCTTCCTTCAACAACTAAAGATATAGCTAATAGTAATACTAATACACGTGTGTAGTGGGTATAAATAAACTAACACTCTGCACTGCCTCCCCACAGGGACTCTCACCAGCTGCTCACATAGGGGACGGGTGTTTAGATCTTATAGTCCACAGACGGGCCAGTCCGCTCAGATACCTCAAATACCTCGCAAATACCGCATTCTTCAGTAAACCAGTGAGTAACAACCCAGTTGTCAGTTTATTGGTTTAGAACTTTCGTTTATTTACCAATCAAATGTGGTTTGGTTGTCACTATTTGACTCCGATTTATTTCATGACTGGGTGCTCAATAGTTAACACAGAAGTACATTATAAATACCAGTTCCTGCTCCTAACCCACCCTCCTCAGTTTACAGGAGACTTAGTGGACGTGCACAGAGTAACGGAGTTCATGTTTAGTTCCACCTGCTCACATGACAAGGACACGGAATGTGGAAACTGCTCCACGTGGAACATAGACGGGGAGCTGTACCACCAACATTCCATACACGTGAAGGTACACAGACAGGGTATCACATTGTTGGCATGCCAACCCGGCTAGTTTCAATCCCTGGAGTTATTAGTTTGTTAGTTAATTTGACATGTTATTAAAGTATACAGAAAATGCGATTTTAATCTTGTATTAACTTCTGCTAGAATTATGATGTTATTGGTTATCCCAATTTAATTAATATTGCGTTGTTTTTATGATAAACTGTAAACATGTATTTACAAATAAAAATAACTATTAAATAGTCATGAAAATTTTGTGAACTGAATGTTGTTGGTTATTTATTAATGATGCGCTATATAATATGATGGTTAGGTTTAAGGTTATTGGTTATGACATCAGACATTTCCGCCTTCTTTGTTGTATTTTTAGTTCGCTTGTTGAATTAATTCTTACGTACCTGGGGACCTCAGGCTATCATGTTTATAAACATAGAATAGAGATTCGGCGGATCGAATGACAGGCTGAGCGCGGCCCAGTAATGAAATTCGTGAAATTTGTTTTCTTAATTCTAGTTTATGTTCATATTATTTATAAGTGAATTATTTCAGAATTTAATGGGTAATATAAGTAATATAATGTGTTGACGGATGTTACTCGTCTAAATTTCTTCGAAGTAGCGCGCGCCGCTTTCTTCTCGAAATGGCCCGATGGCACGAGCTACGAAGTAGCGCGCGCCGGGCCAGATCATTAACAATGGTCAATATAATGTGTAATGCCATATTATTAATTTGCAGTTATTTGATGAAATTTCGAACGATTCATTTGGGATATAATAATTTCTAGACTAGACTATCGAATTTATGTTATATTTTAACTTCTAATTAATAAAAAATATATATATAATATATAAAACTTATAACTAAAAATTTGTGTATTAATTTTATAATTGGATTATTCCATTTCTTGATCAGGAAATTAAAACGCCTTTCACTTTTATTATAGCGGTGCACTGGTGCGCGGCGGGCCTACAACGTATTATATGGAAAGAGAGAGAGAGAGAGAGAGAGAGAGAGAGAGAGAGAGAGAGAGAGAGAGAGAGAGAAAGCGCCTGACAGTATACTAATTGCATGTTAGCAACCTATTTGATTTCATATTTACTTTGTAGCGCGATGCACTACTGGGTCGCGCGCGCGCATCCAATAATGCTTCTCGCAACCACAGTAGATCGGCGAGATGCACAGTAGATCGGCGAAATGCACCACTGTGCCTCACCGAGCTGCGAAGGATTGACATCGTGAATCAAATATTTACTATCACTTTGATTACGTCACAAAGCATACAGCATAAACAACAGAAGTGCGTGATTGACGGATAACACTCGTCTGAATATTTTGTTCGAAGTAGCGCGCCGGGTTAGTCTATTAACAATTACGAACAATTTATTTATTCGTTGCAGCTGCAGCACGATTTTTTTACAGCTCGCCGCGCGACAATTATACGCGTAAAAGCTTGGTAAAGCCCAACATTGGGCCGCACGTACCCAGTACCGAGTTGTCATACGTTGTATGACCCGCCGCGCACGAAGTGCGCGGCTCCCCCTGCGTCGAAGACGCTACAGTGAAGCGACCGTGGGGGTCACCACGTGATACAAGTACCGAGCTAGCTGCGAATTAAAATGTTGACATGACAAGACATTATTGATTACCCGTCAACGAGTCCAGAGTCTAATACAATACACGTTTTGTATTAGTTATTAACCTACAACATTAATCTAAGATCTTCTTATTTGCTATTTTGTATTTAAATGGGAGTTGTACTAATTTTTTGTCATACGTTGTATGATCCGCCGCGCACGAAGTGCGCGGCTCCCCCTGTACTAATTTTAGATTTGTTCATTGTTAATGCATAATGGACTGACCTGGCGCGCGCTGCTTAGTTTTATTGATGACACTTATACAACCATCAAAAACGAATTTTCAAAGGGTAAAAATCTTTTTCATTATTTGTATAACCAATAACAATTAAAATTATAAAGTGCATGACATCAATTTTAATTTGTTCGCATTTTTGACTTCGCGTTGTCCTTTTTTCAAATTTTTTTAAAGAAAGGCTGGGCCTGGATAGCGCACGAAAGGATATTGTTATCCTTATGTAGCGCGATGCACTACTAGGTCGCGCGCGCATCCAATAATGTTTCTCTGCTTTCGTAGATCGGCGAAATGCACCACTGGGCCTCGCCGAGCTAGAAAGGATTGACATCGTGAATCAAAAGAGGATAAAGAGTTAATGCTTTAATTGTCTACTACTATACTATACCTTTACCTGGAGACCTCAGGCTATCATGTTCATTAACATATAATAGAGAATAGAGATTCGGCGCAATGACAGGCTGAGCGCGGCCCAGTAAGGTGTGGAAGAGAAAAGTGAACTAAATCGATGTGTGAGTAGTCGCTATGTCCGCTTTTGTAGCGCGATGCACTACTGGGTCGCGCGCGCATCAAATAATGCTTCTCGCAACCACGTATGCAGATCGGCGAAATGCGAAGGATTGACATCGTGAATCAATGTCCGCTCCTAATAAATCGCTCGCCCAAATTTTAAGAAAATTCTTGTGAAAAGGCCCTTTGGGTGTGAAATTGACCAGAATTGGTGTATTTTTGGATGCTGGTTCCGAAACACCCCACATGACGTAGGGTAAAAATTTCGCATAGCCATGTGTATTTTTGGATGCTGGTTCCGAAACACCCCACATGACGTAGGGTAAAAATTTCACATAGCCATGTGTCTACGCGTACTGCGTGACGCGCGCTACTGCAAGCGAGAGGGCTCTGGTTAGAGCAAGGTAAAAATGATTCCACAGAGAGTTATGGGCAAAAAACCGTTTTGGTCACTTGACAGGCTAGTAAAACATGAATTCGATTGTTTAGTGCTCTGGTTATGGTAAGGGTTTATATTTGCTCTAACCAGAGCCCTCTCGCTTGCAGAGCCCTCTCGCTTGTGAAACAAGCGCGTCACGCAGTACGCGTAGACACATGGCTGTGTGAAAGTTTATATGGTTAGCTTCGGGGTTATGGTTAGGGTTAGGGTTGGGATTAGGGTTTATGTAAAACCGTTTTGTACGGCTGCAAAACCATAAAAACCAAAGTCACGTGAAATTTTTGGGCGAGCGAATTAGTAAGAGCCCGCTATGTCACACCAGTCTGGTCCAGACTCCAGCTCCTCTTCGCATTATCCTGCAAAAATATTTAATTACAAATTCATTCATAATAACTGCATTTAATTGCATTTATCTCACAAATTTTATTTAAATTGTTTTTATGCATTATTATCCTTGTGTTATGATTTCTATATCATTTTTGCATATTCTCTGTTCTTTTTTTCCCATTTTTCATCAAGCCTTACGTTATTGTCCCATTTTCTAGAGCACTAAGGCAATTGATTAAACCAGTCCATTATTTGTGCAGTGTATGTTTTCGGTTCTAGCTTTTTGAAATGTGATTGAGATTTTGAAAGACTAACAAAGCTGTCCCGGTCTTCTTTTGGGCAATAAAGATTAAAGAGCCATAATTGGTATTGAGGAGGCATGAGTGTCTCTTTTGTGACAAGGGCAAATTCCTCAATACCAATTTTCTTTTTAGGATGAGAAGGTTAAATTAGGTATCACTTGTGTATCCGTTGTGCTGTCACGTATTGTCGAGATTTTTACCTGGGGACCCCAGGCTATAACGTTCATAAACAAATAGCGATTCTGCGGAATGACTGATGACAGGCTGAGCGCTGCGCAGTAACAAGATTTGAGCCAGTCACATGGTGTATTCACTGCATGTGTCCCATAACTCTATTTCAATATTACTCTAAATACAACATTGTATCTATTATAACCAACATTGCTTATATTCTGCCTTGTAAACAAAGAGCAAATCTTCTTAATGCCTTCTTCCTGTCCTAAAACTAAAACTTCATCCTATTAAAGTAAAGGCCAGTTGTTACCACAAGCTATTATACCGTCCCTCTCAAAAACATGCCTCAGCCTCCATCAAAAACAATTTTAGTTTTCAGTCCTTCTAATTTCCAAAAATCTACCGAGCTAGTGTTCTGGTGTGCACAAAAGCCCCTAAGCCCGTGCATTCCTTGCCCCGCTAGCTGCCAGTCCTTGACAAACTTCCAATAGCAAAGATCAACTAGTCATTTACAAATTGAGCACTATACAATTTGAATTGTTTTAAATATTTGACTTTGTAAAATGAGCTAAAACATTGATTTATTAGTTTCATTGATTTATTAGTTTCATTCTATTATAGTAATATTGTCTACTACACAACATTGTCTAATACACACGTGCACGTGTCTTGTGAGTCACTCTGGCAGGATTGGTGGAATAACTGAGGGGGTTTGGGGCAGGCCCCTACCAGAGTCTTAAAAGACCCCTACCAGAGTCTTAAACAGATATTGTGTATAAGTAATTTTTCACATTGCTAACCTTTCCTGCTATGTAGCTGCACCATAAAAACGTTTTTTTCTTTTTTTCTTCTCTTTTCCATAAAAGCTTGAGGAGCCAACTTTATTGTTGTGTACATTTATTGTTCGACCCGGCTGAAGCAGCACAATGAATATGTACATCATCTTAGATCTCAAATACAAATATTACAATTTGATAAGATGTGTGGCTTTTAGTGCTTGGTTGGTCAAAATGTTGGTAATTTTATATGTTCCTGTAGTAATAAGGAATGACAATGGTTTGTATAAGCTGGAATTTTCTTCAGCTAATGTTGGTGCTTTTACAACTACTTTCACACTTGACATCGACTACAGCTACAGCTGAACCACAAGTCGGAAATAAAGGTTATTATTATTATATAGATCACTTAACACATTACAACACAAAAAATCAATAAATGATATGTATAATTTACTTTACCTTACTTGTGATACTCTTCGTATATTTTGTATGATGTAAAATATCTTGCTCTTCTATAATTATGATGATATTCAGTTTATCAAAGCTTTCTTTGGGAATCCAATAAATCGTGTCTTGTGCCATCCTCAGTGACCTTGATAGATGGTCACTGAAGAAAAATTCAGTCAATACAGGGAAATTTGGGTCGCGGAAAGTTGAAATCTGAAATTTTCGTAACTTTCCTTTTATTAAAGATAGGAGAGTTAGAATTAACCCAAATATCAGGGACACGAATGACTACTCCAGGATTTAAGAAACTAAACTTTCAACACTGAAAACATTCAGATTCTTGCCAAATATATTTCGATTGTAGTCATCTCCAGTGACATTGAACCTAAAAAATGTTAAAAGGTTAGTGAAACTCAAACCGTTACAAAATTAAGAATCCGAAAAAGGTAAAAAGATCATATTAAGGTTTATGGAATATAGGTAATCCAAAGGGATTGACAGTATTAAGGCCAAAAGGTCTAAGAGAATTAAGCAAATGTATGTAGTTTTATTAAAGATTTTTCCGGATATTCAGCTTTCAGTATCTTGATGGTGACTTGTGTCACTCACACTGACTTCACTGATTGGTCACTGGTCAAATATTCAGTCAGCACTGTGAAATTTTGGTTAAGGAAACAGCAAAAAGCTACTACTGTATTGAAAAATCTTCCAAAATGTTTCCTTCAATCCTGATGATTTTTCTTTATCAAAGTTTTCTTTGGTAATGTAACTTTATTACCTCAATTTTGTCTTGTGCCATCCACATTGAACTCTATAACTGGTCATTGAAGAAAACTTCAGCCAAAACAATAAAATTTGGGTCCCGGAAAGCTTGAAACATCCAAATCATAATTTAACAACAACCTAGCAACTTTTCTATTCCAAATTGTGCCTTTCAATTTTAAATTATTGACAACTTGAGTTGTTTACATTTACTTTTGTGTAGTAAAGTATCAGGACCTGTCTTCTAACGGATCCTTCTTCTTTAAAGGTTCAATGCAAGGTTCTAAGTCTCCTGGCTTCTTTCAGGATGGAAAATTCAATACAAAATCAGTAATTCTTTTAAGATAACTATTAACTATATTAACTAAACGTCACAATATAATTAGTTAAGGTTTTTGGCATTATAACATTATATTACATTATGAATAAGATTTTAAAATTTTCTCACCAAAATCATAATATCATAACATCACCTAACCTCTCAGAAAACAATTTCCTTTCCCGCAGATTTGGACTATTTGACATTGCGATCTCAAGGTTTTGAAGCTTATGCTGAGAACAGGTACAGTGACGCAGCGGTGCTCTTCACTAGAGCTATTGATAACTTCTGGTTCCGTAGACGGGTGAATAGCATGTGTATTGAACAGTGTGTTAAAGACAAAACTTTAGTGAGTAAATTTGTTTTCAACTTTCATTGATTTATGAAACAAGCCGACTTTTTTTTATGAACATAGCACCATTTAATCACACCAACTAATATATTGTACATGTTTAAAATTCAACATATCTTAAATCTAATGATACCAACATTCTAATCGGCAGGTAGACGAAGTGCAGACAATAAGTGTGTACCTAGCAACTAGCACATGTGTTGACAACTGTTGCCATGGTAAACTAGGTGACCCTGTAGTTTCTCCTGACCCCCTTATAGAACACATATTTAGGAAGAACCAGTATTATGACGTCATACAGATGTGCTGGCACGCGGTGAGGACAAACTTTATTGTTTTATATTCTTAGGACTTATCCGAGGAATTGTCAAATGTTGCACGCGAAAAGTGCATTAATAATATTATCTAGTTGTGGATAATTGTGTTAAATATTTTGAGTGGTGAAAGGAGACCAGGGTATGAGTTGGTACGCCGCCTCATGCTTGTTAGTAATATGCAATGATTGGAATGCATTATAGACATCACGCCTTAAATGTAATATCTGTGGCTCCAATAATACTCAAATAAGAATATTATAATAATACGTTTCTTTGGATGATAGATTCCCCATGATGAATACCTACCTTTGCTCGAATTTGAGAGATTATCGTCATTATAACGTTATACTGAATACTCATTACTCATTCGATAAGCTACCAGAGTCTTCTGAGAGACAACAGTCAATATTGCTGGATCAAATATAATTAGAGTATACGAAATGTCAGATGCTGGTGTTGAAGACTAGGCACTGAGAGATATTATACATTCCACTATACACCATTTTGCACGTGATATTGTTCGTGACATTTACCATGACAACTGGGAATCTTCAGCCGTGAGAACTAAGCTTTTAAACTGCAAATTTAACAAAGTAGAATTATTTGGTGATGGTATGGTTAAGCATACCTCAAACGGTCGACGGTGGGTACTAGCTCTACCGGGGTACTGCTATTGATGCTTTTCATACAAACAAGTTAAAACAAATTCAGAATTTGAAATTCTTTATGCCGTGCATCCTGGGTTTGGACAGGATATGCCCGCTTAAAATACTTCCATCGCGTTACACTACATAATTCTCAATAGATGTAATAGATTCGTAGTGTTGCAATTAGTTTAAAACTAATAATATATCTTACAATATTACAAATATTTTAATTGCAGTTCGTGGGAATTTGTTTTAAACTATAAAGTTCCTTTGTTTGTTTATTACCATCTTCACTCTCCAGGATAGGAATTACACAGGGAATATAGAAGCAGCAGAGACATTCTTACTGCATAACCCCACTAATGTTGGCATGTTTAGCAGGTGCGAGGCATTTACTTTTAATTAGCATGATTAGCAGGTGCGAGGCATTTACTTTTAATTATTTATGGTTTGATTAATTTAAATTTTATTAATTTGAATAAGGCGGAAGTCTGAACGTCAACAATAGAACTTCACACTTGACTCAAGTAGTAAGCAGTCGCATATAAACACCTTGTACACAAAAAAGCTTTTGTTTACTTGCCCGTAACTCTCAACGGGCTCATGTTCAAGTAGACACAGTTCTCTTGTGCTCCTTTCACAATACAAACCTTTATCAAATATATGTGAAAAGTTACTCCTGGAATTTAAAAAGTTGAGGAGTGTAGGAAGTGTGAACTATAAGTGAGAAATATAATTAGTAAACTAATTTGATCTGTTTTATCAGTATTTCCACTTTCCAGATCCGATCTGAGCCCTTGTCTTGCTCTCTAATTTAATTACGAGATATTAATTAGAAGATAAATCGCTGTACTTCAGGTTGCAGGACTTGTATAAAATATTCCAAGTTGATGGCGATGTTTTGCCAAGAATGGAGCCGCATTACCATAGCCAGTACAGAAGAGGTTAGTAACCTTCTAATGTTAACTTTATAAAAAACATAAATAACTTTTAAAATTTTGATATTAAAATAGGATTTTACGCACATGAGCTTCTTCAACCAAATTGTTTTTACGAAAGTTTAAATTTGACAATTCTGAAGTAATTATTTACCCTATCATAAAAGATAATTATAATCAATTAATTATCATTCATCAATAAACATTACTTAATTAATTAATGATCTAGGAGTGGATTCCTACCAGAAGCAGGAGTGGGGACAGTGTGTGTACTATCTAGACAGTGCTATAGAGAACTTTATACGAAGTAGTAACCTGTGTAGAGCACAGTGTACTTACCAGTACGATAAAATACCTTCACAACACAAGGTATTACTGTTTAAATTAAATTTTATTATTGCTAATCTAGAGGGGAGGGGCAACCCAATGCCCATTCATTCCCCAATTTTTGGTCGAATGGATGTCGATGGGCGTGGGCTTAAAAACAGCTTAAACTAACATTATGATGAAAATGAACATCAAGTGCTCACCATCCTCTAATTAACATGTTTAACTATATTTCAGCTCAACAGAGTATCATATCAGAATTCTAATCGAAAAATGATGAAATTTTACCGAAAAATGATGAAACGATGCCCATTTGCCCGTTTCTGTTTTGATTGAGATTTGTAGACCACGTGACCTGAACACGGTCAGGATTACACAGGATTATGTGATTGGTTAGTTAATGACTTTCTGTTTCAGGTAACCTCGTTTGTGTCAGCAGCAGCTGAGATAGTCGAGAAGACAGGAGCTTGTAGAGCCCAGTGTTACGAGGATCTGGACCTCAGACCCTTCACTAACAGTCCTTATCTTGCCAGTATTCTGGAGTACTTGCAGTTCTGTCAGTACAACTGTAAGTATTACGCACTAAGTATGTAGGGGGGGGGGGGGGGGGGGGGGACAGGAGCTTGTAGAGCCCAGTGTTACGAGGATCTGGACCTCAGACCTTTCACTAACAGTCCTTATCTTGCCAGTATTCTGGAGTACTTGCAGTTCTGTCAGTACAACTGT